GTAAGATTCGGCTGCAAGCCAGAAAGAGAGAGCAGGCACTCCTGGCATCCTGCCCATGAGGGCTCTGTGGACACTGAGACGCCCTGCCAGGGGAGCTGGGGAGAAGGGCTCCCCTTCCTGGAGGGATGGAGCAGAGCGGCGGCGTGGGCTAGAAGCAGCGGAAGGGACTGGGTGTCCCACGGGGAGCAGCCCTCTGCCTGGAGGACCCAGTGCTGCGCGTGGCTCCAAAACCACGCCAGGGCCAGGCTGCCTGCCCGTAACTTTTCCTCACAGTGAACCAGGGCTTATTTTAACCTCGGATGACAAGGATCCTAATAATGGCAACCCCTCTGGCGAGGGATGAGGGGTACAAACTAGGGCACGGAGGAAACGGAGAGGCTTTGGACGACAGATGCTAATTCCTCTCCAGCTCCGTCCAGGAAACGCACCCAAGTTCTCACCCGATACCCTCACTTCCTTCCCAGCCGTCCTCGTCTTCCACACGCGCTGGTACCTGGATGCAGTCGAATGGGCGCTGCGACCTCCGACCTTTGACCCCTCTGACCCCCTGCAGTCGGAGAGGAGTGATAATCCTGTGAAATCGAGCGGTCAGGCTGGAGCAGCTCCTTGCTGTGCCATGTCTTCCTGCCTCCCGTCCTTTGAGAGTATTTAAAGCAGAGGCTCCCCAAGCTACCGTAAATGTTGTCTGCCTGGAACCCGCAGATTCCAGAACCATTGGAATGTTCCTGAAACCAGAGAGAGCCATGGCAGAGCCGAATACTGTCTGTCGGCATACGTGAACCACCGAGTCACAAAACGGGCTGGCGCCCTCTGCGACTCTTGAGGGCCCCAGCCTGCAGGACAAGCCCTCGCCCCCGACAAGTGCCTTCATGTCATCTGTAGACAGATCCGAGCTGAGCTGAAGATGGAGGTTGGCGATTCCGAGGGAGAGACACCCTACTGGCCGCCTCCTCTGCCGGCAAACATCGGGGAGGCGTGTGCTAGGAGGAAGGGGCTGGGGTGGGGGGGGGCATACCCAGGTGAGTGAGGGTGGGACGGCAGGGCAGTAGGGGCTCAGGATAAGAGAGGGTGTGCAAGCCTTGGGCAGAAACTGGCTGGGGCTGGGGTCTTGGTGAAGCAGAAGTGGGAGGACATTGGTCCATCCTGACTGTTGGGAATAGTCCAAGTGTGGGTCCGCTTGGAGGCGGGGGCGCAGCTGACTGTTTCTCGGGAGGTCTCGCCCCAGTGCACCCTCTTTAATAGCGTCTGTCAGAAACGGACGCGCTCAGAGCCTGGGCTGCACGTCAGTTCCCGGTGGGATGGGGTGGGCGTGTAGGGGGCCTGGGGGTGCAGAGGGACCGGGATCTGGGAGGGAGAAGAAAGCCTTAGGTCCCAAAGCACCCGCTCCCTTCTTCCAGGTCGTGACTAACTCGGCGGCAGAGGGCGCTCTTCTAAAGAGACTCGCAGGGCTCCGATGGCGAGGTCTTTCCTGCAGCTCCTTAGAGGCTCATAAAAGTGTCCAAACCCTGACGAGGTCTGTCCCCAAATGTCTACTCCCATTTTTCATGCTGGGAGTGGAAAGGAGAGGCTCTGAAATACACAGAGTCAGAAAGGCCTGATGGTCGGTCGTCCCTTGGCGCCGTCTGCGGCTGGCGTCCCTACCGGCCGCCGAGCGTCTGATCTCACTGGTACCAGGGCCCGGGCTGGACGAGGGGCTGCACACGCTGATGATCACCTCCGAGGCAGGGGTGTGTCCCCGACCCTTTAAAAACCTTCCCATCCAAGGGAAGTCTCCCAAGGGCCTCCTCTCTGACCGCTGGGTGACTCAGACTCGGGGGAAGTCAGTCCCGCCGCAGAGGCGGGCTCGGGGCAGGAACAGAGCGAGACCGGCAAGCGGCTCCTCGGACCCTCTCCTGCCGCCGTGTCCGCGCACAGGTGTGCGGAGCCCTCTCCCCATCTGACCGCCGTCTGGGCCCCACGCCCACCCGTCAGCCCCGTCAGGTCTGAAAGGCTGCAGACAAGGCCGCGTAAGCAGAGGGACAAGAGTGAACCCCACCTTCCTGCCGAGAGTGTCCTGAGACGCCTTGGGTCCTCCCTCCCTCCCCCACATCCTGAGCTACGTCCCTGGTTTATGGACTTCCGTAGCTAATTGGCCTCCCTTCCATCCTGAAGCTTCTCTAGCAGCTCCCTGCAAAGTGGAGGGGGGGTGTCCGGGGGGGAAGCTGCCTGATTCCCTCTTCAAGAGCAAACGATGAAGAAGAGAGTGGCACACGTGCACCCCTGGAAGACAGCTCCCCGGCTGGGAGGGTGTTAGCTGAGAGCCCGCGTAGAATCTGCACCCCCGGCCCCAGGGCAGCAGAGGGACCTCGGAGGAGGAGCAACCCCCCTGCTCGGCCCTGCTGTTGATGGTGCTCTGCATTTGCTGCCTTCTAACCCCCTTCCCTCCCCACTTCTCCGTCGCAAGCAGCGTATCTTCTTGTAATGAATACCCTGCCGTCAGCCCTCACAGCCTCCCCTCTGCCACCACGTCCCAGCACACCTGCAGCGTACACTCCAGGGCCCGGGTCGGGCTGCTGTCTGCTTAAGAAAGAGGAGACTTCCTCTGGTCCTCCGATCCCAGCCACAGACCTCTCCCGCTCAGACACATGGCCAATAGCACGGCCTGACGTTCTCTCCCAGCCCCGTCCTACTCCCGGGCTGGCTCCGGCCCTTTCTTGTCCTGGACCTCAGATCCTTCACACTCTCGTTCTGGGCAAGCCCCGAGGGAGGAAGGAAACATAACAGGCCACAAGCTTTGCTTCCCTTTCCTCCCGGGGTTGGGCGTCCACTGTCTTTGCCCACTTTGTGCCACGGCCACTGGTGCAAACCACAGGAGGTCGCTGGGCTCCAAGACACGGGAATGCCCCCTCTGCCCTCCCTCCCCTTTGTCCCTTTCCACGTGCACACGAGCTCAAAGACACCTACGTCTCCCCCCGCAGTGCTCTTCCCCCAGGTCTCTGGGTTCTGCGCCTGCAAGGTGGCTCTCTAGCAGCTGCCCCCACCTCCTCCCGGCAAGAACCCAGCCAGCTCATTCTGCTGCCTCCCGAGGGAGGCGTGCTTGGCTCAGGGCCAGAAGGACAGGTAGAGCTTTCCCACTGTGCTTGCCTCTGAGCCAGCATTTCCTCCTCCCAGAGCAGGAGGAGGGAGCGAACACACCCAGAACAGACCCCAGATCTGGTCCAGCACCCAGACCGCCAGCGCAGAACCATGTTCGTATACCTCACTGAGCTGCTGGAAGTCCAGCGTTCAGACACCTGTGTCCTTACGTGACTTTCCCTTTCTATAAATCGAATAAGTACCTCTGGCTGGGTCCCAGTGCACAATTGTCCTCAAGCTTGGGTCTAGCGGGGGGGAAAACTCGGACTTTGCTCAGTCCTGTGCTTGTAAAAATTGATGCTCCTATTTTTTTTAATATGTATGTGCTATGCACAAATCACATCGTGTTCCAGCAAAAAGTAAAAGGTCTTTTTATACGTTCCTTAAACTGTTGGACTCCACCCCGCCTATTAAAACCAACAACACTTCCCTGAGTTGTGGTCGGTTTTCTTGTTTCTTCTTCTCCTCTCAAGGAGGCGGGGCGCCGTGGAAGCAGAAAGCACCACTTCCTGGGGTGGTGGATTATTAAGGCAGTCGCGTGGGTCACTTCATCTTTTCACAAAAGGGGAATTTGGTCCAGAAGGGAGGACGAAGCTACCGTAGACCAGACCGGTCGTCCACATTCCTCGGACTGTCACACGCACTCACTTCTTTACTCATCAGGAGATCGATCTTGGGCTCCCTGGCTCCAGGCTGCCATGGGGCTAGGTCTGGGGGACGTGGGAGTGAACAAGGCAGAGATGGACCCCCATCTTCTTACAAACTTGCATTAAAAAAATAAAAATTAGTTGGGGAAGGTATAGCTCAGGGGTAGAGCGTGTGCTCAGCATGCACAAGGTCCTGGGTTCAATCCCCGGGACCTAATCCTTTAAGTAAATAAATTTTAAAACCTTTTTTAAAAAATCACCTATGAGGGTGTTCAAGTGTAGCTTCCCAAGCCGCCCAGCAGAGCCTGGCCCGGAGGCCCAGGAGAGCTCCGGAGTCGGCCTGTAACACACGCCCCAGGCAACGCAGACGTTGCAAAGCCCTCATCTAGCAAGATGACAGCCTTGTGGAGCACTGGAGCTAAGAGAGACGCTATGAAATAAAAATTTAAAAAAAAACCTTTTTGTAAGTAAAAAGACAAAGAAGGAGGCCAGGGAGCCTAAGGTTCTCAGCCAGGACGGCACAACCAGAACGAGACCCCTTCCCCTTTCCTGCGCCTCTGCCACCAGCCCGGCAGCGCCCCCACCGCGCTCCCGCACCCGAGCCCGCACCCTCTCCTGCGTCCCCACGCAGCCTCTAGGGGAGATTATGGTGCGCCTTCAGTCGAGCAATGCTGGGTTCTGAATACTATATACTCTTTTCTTCCTTTTCCTTTTTTTTAATGGAGGGAGTGGGGATTGAACTCAGGACCTCGTGCATGCTGAGCACGCGCTCTACCCCTGAGCACCCCGGCCTCCACTCTCTTGATGCGGTCGCACTGCCCCCCGATTTGTGACGATCAAAATGTCTTCAGATGTTGCCAGACATCCAAGTCCTCCCAGCCGAGAGCCATTCCCTCAGCGGTGGCTGCCTATTTCACCCCCTCAAGAAAACTGGGCCCCCAAGTTAGGGCTAGCTGTGGCTACAGCAGACCCCGTGGGGGTCCGGCAAGCGGGCTGGCTGAGGCCCTCCCTCCTGGATGCTGTCAGGATGACCGCACGTCTCAGGCCGGACGTCCCAGGGTGGCGCCGGGGCGCTACAACGCCCCACGATGCACAGCATAGCCCCCGGCCAGCCCCCGGCCGCAAGGAACGACCCAGCCCCAGATGCCGGCGCTGCCGGGGTTCCACAAGCCGGCGGCCAGTTACCGCACCACCTCGCTTGGCCCGAAGTTCT